TCAATACACTTTCCAAGAAATCAACATGGGCATGTCTATGTAATCAACCAAGTATTAAACTTCAATCAGAATAGAGCTGAAAGGGACTTTGGAGGTCTTCTAGTCCAACCCCCTGCTCAAGCAGGAGACCCTATACATTTCAGACAAGTGACTGCCCAGTCTCTTAAAAACTTCCAGTGATGAAGTACCCACAACTTCTGACAGCAAGCTGTTCTACTGGTTAATTGTCCTCACTGTTAGGAAGTTTCTCCTTAATTCCAGGTTGCTTCTCTCCTTGATTAGTTTTCATCCATTGTTTCTTGTCCTGACCTCTGTTGCTTTGGAAAATAAGTTGACTCCCTCCTCTTTGTGGCAATCTCTCAAATACTGGAATACTGATATCATGTCCTGTTCTTCAAATGTTTTGGTCTCTAGGCCTTTAATCATCTTAGTTGCTCTTTGCACTTTTTCTAAAGTCTCAATATCTTTTTTGTGATGTGGCCAAAACTGGATGCATTATTCCAGGTGTGGTCTTACTAAGGCTTTATACAGCAGTACTAATACTTCACATGATTTTGATTCTATGCCTGTTTATACAACCAAGGATTCTATTAACTTTTTTGGCTGCTGCCGCACACTACTGACTCATGTTTAAGCGATGGTCACTAGGACTCCAAGGTCTCTCTCACAGTTACTGTTTTTGAGCCAGGTTTCGCCTAATCTCTAGTTGTACCCTTGCCTAGGTGTAAAACCTTGCTTTTCTCCACATTAAATTTCATGTTGTTGGATAGGGTCCATTGTTCAAGTCTGTCAAGATCTTTTTGGATCCTGAGCTTGTCTTCTGGGGTGTTGGCTATTCCTGCCAGCTTAGTGTCATCTGCAAATTTGATGAGTTCCCCTTCTATTCCCTCATCTAAATCATTTATGAAGATATTGAAGAGTACTGGGCCATTAAGCAGTCCATTAAGGACTACTCGAGTAGTTTGTCAGCCAGCTACAAATCCAGCAATGGTGACGCAGTGGTTAGAATGCAGGACTGCAGGCTACTTATGCTGACTGCAGTTTGGCAGTTCAAGTCTCACTGGCTCAAAGTTGACTTAGCCTTCCATCCTTCGAAGGCTGGTAAAATGAAGACCCAGAATGTAGAGGACAATATGCTGGTTCTGTAAACCGCTTAGAGAGGGCTTACCAAGAAGTAGGTTGTGGTCTACTTTGTCAAATGCCTTGCTGAAGTCTAAATATACTATATCAGTTAAGTATACTTTAATGGAAGGGTTGACCTCCGAAATATCAGTCAAAATCAGAACTAGAGTTCCACATAAAATGTGATTTCAAAGCAGAAGGAAATTCCCTTCTGAACACTTGTTTTGATCTACACAAATCCTTACATTTTTCACATGCCATCAATTTTATCACTGACCACAGGGTCAGCATCTCAAATCATTTTCCCCATCCACATACACACTTCAAGCAAGGAAATGAAAGATTAGGGATGTGTGGCATAAATAGATCCAGACAATACTAAGCAGACAATGGCAGTCGCATTTTATTTATGTAATATTTGTAATGTTATCTATTTTATCTACATGTATTTTATGATTCAGGTATATGTATATGTATACACATATACATATACATAATAAATAAATAAAATCTAGAAATATGTTATAAAAGCTTGCTACTGCATCAAATCAAAGAAAATCCTTAACAGAATTAAAATATTGGGAGAAGTGACTATGTTATTCACCTGAAAAAAACCTTCAAGACTGTCGACAGATGTTCTTGATTTTAGAACAGTGTTTCCCAACATTAGCAACTTTAAGATGCATGGACTAATTCCATAGCCAATCATATCATATTTTAAAGTTGCCAAGGTTGGGAAACACTACTTATTTAAAATAATAAGACATGTAAAAACAAAATTTTCATGTCTCCCAGGAAGAAAAAACTTTAAGGATTGCAATCCTTCCTTGGTTTCTTAATTCTCCTCCTCTTTCTATTCCTCAATAGGTTACCACAGAAAAGTCTCTTTTTGATTTAGCTGCCCCAGCAAAATAAAGAGCAACTTTGGCATTCATTACACGTCTATTTAGAAGATTAAATTAAAAGTTCAAGTGTCAAAATAAAGCTTTCTCTGTGTTTATCTCA